TTTTTGAATTTATTTAAATTTAGAATAAATTTAGATTAAATAATATTAAATGATGAAAAATATATTGAAAGTTTATTATTTTATTAGAATATCATCGAAAATATTTTTTAATATAAATAATATTAAAAATTATTTGTAATAGAAATAAATTACGGCAATAATAAAAAAAAATTATTTAATATATTTTTTGTACTTATAAAAATGCTTATTTTAAATATTTATATATAATATTCTTATTTTTTAAACATATACATTTAAAAAATTAAAATTATATTAATATATATAATTATATAAAAAAATGTTACAAAAATTCATAAGTAAAAATCTGCATAATTTTAATACTTACTTTCTTAGTAATTATGTGAACAATTATATTTTTATGATTCTGACTCCATATTGACAAAATTAATATATATATTTTCTTTTCATTAAATTGTTAAAAATTTAAAATTCACTTTTTATATATATATTTTAATAAATTGTACATTGATGAGAAACTAATATTTTAATAAATTGTACACTAAAAAAAAAAATTTTTTTCAAGATTAATAATTTCTAATTATATATAGGAACTAATAAATTCGTCATTTTTAATTCAAGAATTAATTTTCTAAATGTAAAATCTTAAAAATTGCTTATACAATTTACATATAATTGCAATTCCACAAGAAATTTTTTTTCCAATTCATAATTAAAAACATACATATTAATATTAAATCTATATGTAAATAAAATTTTTAAATTTGAATTCAATTTTTATAGAAAATATAATATAATCAAATGTTGAGAATTGTATACAAATTATATAATTTATATATTATTTGAATAATAATTTTCATTATTGAAGATTGAAGATGAAAATATCTTTTTGGAAATATGAAAGAAAAATAATTGTAGATTATTTAAAAACTTTGGAAATAAAGAAAATTACAATTCTATCCTGAAATATTTATACATAACATACATACAACTTATGATTAATATATATCATTGTGAATAAAACTATTATCAGTTTTCTTCATATAAAAATATTATATAAAAAGAGAAAAAGATTGTGTAAAGTTTACGATAAAATTACATATTATACAAATATAAAATATAATAATATGTAAATATATATATTAAAATGTATTTATACATACATAACTATATCTATACTAGTTTTTAAGATCGAAAAAAATTTTTTTAAAAAAATCCTTGAAATTGTTATTCTTATAAACATCACGAATATTCATTTATATAATTATATATTAATAATATATATGTATAATAATATTAATAATATATAATTTACAATAACTCGTACATGCCTATGACTGATATAATTATGATAAAACTAATATATATATATATTATATTAAAATTTA